GTATATATTAGGGGTTTAAAATATTTTATTTCACAAAGCCTTATAATAACCCTGTAAAGAAGTTTTTTGTGGGGCTGGGAAGGTGGCTCAGTGGTAGAGTGCTTGCCTTGCATGCATGAGGATGCATGAGGCCCTGGGTTCAGTTCCTTAGCACCACATAAGCAGAAAAAGCCTGAAGTGGCGCTGTGGCTCAAGTGGTAGAGCGCTAGCCTTAAGCTGAAGAGTTGAGAGACAGCGCCCAGGTCCAGAATTCAGGCCCACAACTGACCAAAAAAAAAAAAAGGTTTTTTGTTTGTTTTTTGTCGGTTGTGGGGCTTGAAATATGGTCCTGGGTGCTGTCCCTCAGCTCTTCAGTTCAAGGCAAGTGCTCTACCACTTGAGCTACAGCACCACTTGTTTTTCTGGTGGTTTATTGGAGATAAGAGGCTCACGGACTTTCCTGCCCTGGCTGGCTTTGAACCTCGATCCTCAGATTTCAGCCTCCTGAGTAGCTAAGATTACAAACATGAGCCACCAGCACCCGACTAAGAAGTTATTATCTTCATTAGAAAGGTGAGATGGTTGGAGCTGAGAAGTTAAATAGTTTCCCAGACTTACACAAAGTACATGGCATAGTCAGCATTCACACCGTGTCTGCCACACTCTAGGCCCTCTGCTCCTTCTTGTGACACTCACAGTAATGATGCCTATCAGAGGTGGTTTTGCTGGGTACAAGAAGACAGCTATTGCTGGGCGCTGGTGGCTCACGCCTATAATCCTAGCTACTCAGGAGGCTGAGATCTGAGGATCGCGGTTCAAAGCCAGCCTAGGCAGAAAAGTCCGTGAGACTCTTATCTCCAATAAACCACTAGAAAACCAGAAGTAGCGCTGTGGCTCAAGTGGTAGAGTGCTCGCCTTGAACTGAAGAGTGCAGGGACAGCACCCAAGCCCAGAGTTCAAGCCCCATGACCGACCAAAAAAAAAAAGAAGAAGAAGAAGAAGAAGACAGCTACTAAAACAGGCTGAAAAAGAGTCTTCTTACTGCCTTGCAATAAGAGTAAGAATTTTACCACATGTAAGGAAGGAAAAATATTAGTACAGCTAGAAAGAATTGTTATGATTGAAGTTCTGGCAAGTGACAGGGAGAAAAGGGGTTGAGAGCAGTTAAGATAAGAGAAGAAGGGGCTGGGAAGGTGGCTCAGTAGTAGAGTGCTTGCCTTGCATGCATGAGGCCCTGGGTTCAATTCCTTAGCACCACATAAGCAGTAAAAGGTGGAAGTGGCGCTATCGCTCAAGTGGTAGAGCGCTAGCCTTGAGCTGGGTCAGCACCCAGGCCCAGAGTTCAGGCCCCACGACCAACCAAAAAAAAAAAGAGAGAGAGAGAGAGAAGAGAAGAAGAATATGCTTTTAGAAATGCTGGGTCAAGAAAACACTAAGGCTAGAAGAAGAAAAGAGATTACCCTGAGATACCATGCTGTGAAAAGCTGCTGTGACAGTGCAGAAGTATATAGCAGTGACCCTGCTGCTGTCACTGCAGCTTTTCAATCCTTCCATGAGGATCAAAAAATGAACTCAAAATAGAGAAAGGAAGGAATGTTTAGTATCAGTCTGGGTTGCCAAGATAAAATGTTTTAGACTGATTCACAGTGCCAAACCCAATAATCATTAACATTCCATATGTGTTTTTGGAAACCACAATTTTTTTATGTATGAGTATTTTGTTTTGTTCTGTTTTTTATAATGCCACTATTTTCAAATGCTTATAACCTTTCCTAGAATCTGAAAACAATGCCTAAGTATATGAAAATATGCTTAAGCATAGTTTTATCAAAGTTTCTAGAGTGTGACCTTTATCTTTTACATGATATACAGCTTTCTATTGGAAAAATAATAGAATCATAAGTCAGACATTTAAGAAATCAAGATTTGAAACTATATGGGAACTGATCTGACTGACCATAGATGAATAGTTCATAAATGAGGCATAAGCTTACCTCACTCAACTATGAAGAATTTTCAGTAAGTTATAAAAGGAAATATTTCAGGGGCTTGAAAGTAGAAGCAATATAGGTAGCAGGAAAAATATAATTTATTCTCGAATTCTCTGAAATTGTATAGAACATTATTAGGAAAATGGAAGTTAGGAAGATCACCCTTAAAATATTAGTGCTAGCTATTCAGAAGAGTCTCCATTTATTTGACTAGAAATATAGCTTGACAGAGATACTTCTTCTTTTAGACTCGTTGTACCCAAGAAATCTGGCCCTTCTCCCCAGGTTCTTATCTGCCTCCACTGGCCCTCTGCTCTTGGCCCTTCACTTAAATTGTGAACTCCCAAAAGTAAACATTGTGTATATTTCATAGTTTTCAAAAACCTAACTTTGCATACAACATACAGAGGATTAGCCCCTCAAAAAAAAAAAAAACACAGTAAAAACCAAGCCTATATTGGGGCTGGGAAGGTGGCTCAGTGGTCGAATGCTTGCCTTGCATGCCTAAGGCTCTGGGTTCGATTCCTCAGCACCACATAAGCAAAAAGAAAAAAGCCGGAAGCGGCGCTGTGGCTCAAATGGTAGAGTGCTAGCCTTGAGCTGAAGAGCTGAGGGGCAGCGCCCAGGCCCAGAGTTCAGGCCCCATGACGGGACCCAAAAAAAAAAAAAAACAAGCCTATAGTGATAGTTCACACCTGTAACCCCAACACTTGGGAGGCTGAGGCAGGAGGATTGAGTATTCAAGACAAGCCTGAACTATGTAGGAAGAACACAACCCTGTACTGTTAATGGACTGGGAATGTGACTCAGTGGTAGAGTGCCTTGCATGCATGAAGCCTTAGGTTCGATTCCTCAGTACCACATAAATACAAAAATCCTGAAATGATGCTGTGGCTCAGTGGTAGAGTGCTTGCCTTGCATGCATGAAGCCTTAGGTTCGATTCCTCAGCACCACATAAATACAAAAAGCGTGAAATGATGCTGTGGCTCAGTGGTAGAGTGCTAGCCTTGAGCAAAAGAAGTTCAGGGACAGCCCTGAATTCAGGCCCCAGGACTGGCAAACAGTAAGTATTATTATTATTATTTCCCATTACTCACCTTTAGCCCCTGATAATTCCCATTATACTTTGTTTCTATGAATTTGACTACTGTGAAATCACAGTGCTACTTTTTTTTCCGCCAGGGCCTGGGCACTGAGCTTCTTTAGCTCAAGGTTAGCACTCTTATCACTTGAGCCACAGCACCACTTCTGGCTTTTTCTGTTTATGTGGTATTGAGGAGTGGAACCCAAGACTTCATGCATGCTAGGCAAGCACTCTACCACTAACCACTAAGCCACATTCCCAGCCCCTACAGTGTTACATTTTTTTTTCAGTGTTACATTTTTATGACTAGTTATTTCACTTAGTGTAATGCCCGGGTCATCATCTGTATGATAGCATATCAGAACTTACCTCCTTTTTTAGGACTGGATAATGTTCCGTTATGTCTATATACACTATTCTTTTTAAGTTGTTATTTTTTTTGGGGGGGTCCGGTCATGGGGCCTGAACTCTGGGCCTAGGTGCTGTCCCTGAGCACTTCAGCTCAAGACTAGCACTCTACCAATTGAGCCACAGCGCCACTTCTGGCTTTTTTCTTTTTGCTATGTGGTGCTGAGGAATCGAACCCAGGGCCTCATGCATGCAAGGCAAGTGCTCTACCACTGAGCCACCTTGCCAGCCCTTAAGTTGTTATTATAAAGGTTATGTACAGAGGAGTTACAGATATACACTATTCTTTTATCCACTCATCTGTCATTGGGCACTTGTGTTACTTCCCTGCTTTGGCTGTTGGAGTAATACTACTTTGAATAACTTTACACTAATGAGACCGTGCTTTCAGTTCTTTACGAAAATACTCAGTAGTGGAATTTTAGAAATATATGTTTAATTATTAAGAAATCACCATACTGAAAATAGAAAGGTGAAACCTGTTGAAAGTGTTAGGGGTTTTTTGTTTTGTTTTTTTTGCCAGTCTTGGGGCACTGTCCTTGAGCTTCTTTTGCTCAAGGCTAAAACTCTGCCACTTGAGCCACAGCACCACTTCTGGCATTGTCTGTTTATGAGGTTGCTACTGAGGAATCCAACCCAGAGCTTATGCATGTTAGGCAATGCCCAGGCCCCAGGACTGGCAAAAAAAAAACTTTATATTCTTTATTTTTTTGTGTGATTCCATCTTCTTTTCCTTATGTATGGTGTACTTAAGTGTATATCTTTGGTAGGGTTGTAGGAAGGGTACAGAACTGGAGAGAAAAAGGGTGAAAAAGTGCAGCAGTAGAACTCACTGGACACTGATGAAAATGAACTATACAAATTGTGGGTGGAGTCGCGCAGAAGGGATTGGGAGAAAGGGAACAGAAGACACTGTAGGAAAAGAAATGTACTTACCACCTGACTCATGTAATTGTAATCCCCACCGGAAGTGGTGCTGTGGCTCAAGTGGTAGACCGCTATCCTTGAGCTGAAGAGCTGACGGACAGCGCCCAGGCCCAGAGTTCAAGCCCCATGACCAACCAAAAAAAAAAGAAAGAAAGGAAGAAATGTTGCAGAAAACATCTTAGAATAAAGTCTTAAATCCTGGTGCTTTCAGTTTTCTGTGATGAATTCACAAAAGTGGAATTACTACATCAAGTGATATGTTCCAGTATATTTTCCAAAAATGATGTGTGAATTCACATTTTTACCAGCCTTCAGGGAAAGACTGTTTCTCCATATCACTGGCACTTAGAAAGGGTTTCACTGTTTTCTGATACTGTCAATTTAAATTATAAGGACTTTGTTGGGCAGTATTTAATGGTAAAAAGTGAAAGAATGCTGATAAATTTATATTTGACATCGATTTTCATGAAAAATGCAACTGAGAAGTCCCTTTGTGTGAAGTTGAATAGGTAAATTAACATTCTGAAGCAATCAGATTTTCAGTGTCCTTCCTGTTTTCTACCATTTTCTTGACTAAGCAAACTAGCCAATGGCTTCTTATTTTTCTTAGCTTAATACAGATATGGAAAGAGAAGAAGGAGAAGAGTTTGAAGACAATATGGATGTTTTTGATGACAGTAGTTCAAGCCCTTCTGGCACCTTAAGAAATTATCCACTCACCTGCAAAGTTGTTTACTCCTACAAGGTTTGTATTTCCAACATATTGCTGATAGCAGATCTTGGAGACTCTGTATCTACCCAGCCTCTCATAATGTGTCTACTTAGCATATTATATTAGATTACTTGTATTAAAATGTCCTACACTAATCCCTTAGTCTCTGTGAGCCTCAATTTCCTTATATCATAAGGATAATATTGTAGAGTTAATATGAAGATAAATCATAACTTGAAATCATTAAAAATAAATAATAAAGTAATAATTCAGTAGGAATGCATTTAGCACAGTGCCTAGTATACTGAAAATCTTTAGTAACCAAAACTCTTCCTGCTTGACATAAATCCTCCATTAGGATGAGCCTCAAAATGGATATCAAGGAAAATTATTTTACAAAGCAATTTTTACACTTTGCCTATACTCCTAATATAACCATCTCTTATTATCTTTGTTAGGCAGGAACTTTGATAAATTTAGAATTTCTACATCTGGTTTGGTATAATTGTTCTTAATCTCTCTCACCCTTTCCTTGAAGTCCAATTAAACTTTTTACTAAACACAGAGTAAATTGAGTTTTGACTTCCAGTTGTTCTTTGTTTTGCCTCTTTCCACCCATCAGCCAGTTCTGTTGAATTCACCTCCACATATCCTGAATCTGGATTCGGGAAATAGCTCACTGACAAAGTACTTGCCTAGTACATTAGGCTGTGTTTCATCCCCAGTACTTAAAAAAAAACAAGTGTATATGTATACACATATATATGCATGCACGCACACACACACACACACACACACACACACACATCTTGAATCTAATCACTTTTTATTTTCTCTGCTGCTATTATCTTTGTCCATGCCATTGCTTTAGTGATGGAGAGAGGGGACTTGAAATTAGTCTCCCTCTTTCATAGTTGCCTCCCCATTGTCCATTTTTAACTCTGCAGTCAGAAAAATCTTCAACATATGAAAGAGATGATATTATTCCCTTTGCTAAAACTTCTAAGCTTTCTATTACACGTAGGGGAAAAAACACAAACTCTTTCCTGATATCTGTAACATCCAGCCTGATTTGGCTCCAGCCAGTTTCTTTGGCTTCATATCATACCATCTTCCCACCTCTCCCACTCAAAACACATTAGCTACCCTGGCTGCCTTAGGCTAAGGCCCTGATTATATACTCCTTTGTACTTGAGATCCTTTCTGCCTAGACTTCTATTTCCCCAAATCCTAGTTTGCTGCCCACTTCTCACCATAGGAGCTCAGCTCAAATAGTGCTTCCTGAGGCCACCCCTAACCACTTAAGGAGACTGCCAACACCTCAGTTGCTTCTCTGTCCCATTGCCCTCTTTTACTTACTCTGCATAGTCATGTGTTATTAATGATGAGAATTCCTTCTGAGGGAGGCAGCATTAAAAGATTTTATTATCATGCACCTATCAGAGTGAGCTTACATAAGCCTAGACACTATAGCCTATTATACATCTAGGCTACATAGTAAACATGCATTATTACTGTTCATCAGACCATGATCAAGCAATGTGAGATTAAATAAAGCCCAGGAGAAAATGATGAACTGTGCATGAGATATATGAGGCTGCTGTACTAGCATGCTGTTTCATAAGCAAACATTTTTTGTAAGTAGAAAGATAGACTCAAAAATGATAAAAGTAGATGGATACCATTGGTTCACACCTATAATCCTAGCGCTCAGGAGGCTGAGATCTGAACTAACCCAAACAGAAAAGTCTTAGAAATTCCTATCTCCAAATAACCAACAAAAAGATAACTTAAAGATAACTCCTGGCTTAAGCAGGAGTACTAGCTGTGAGTGAAAAAAGCTAAGTGAGAGCATGAGACCCTGAATTCAAGCCCTAGTACCAACACAAATAAATAGGTGTTTATATATCCATACATACATATATACATATACACGTATACATACACACATACATATATACATACATATGGGAGACGGAGACAGACACACTGACTTGAGGCCAAATCATGATTCTTATGGCCCAGAAAAGGTCTGGATTCATCTGGTGAGGCCATTTTTAATGATCATAAGAAAGGATTCATAATTTTTTTTTTCGGTCATGGGCCTTGAACTCTGTGCCTGAGCACTGTCTCTCAGCTCTTCAGCTCAAAGCTAGTGCTCTACCACTTGAGCCACAGTGCCACTTCTGGTTTTCTGGTGGTTTATTGGAGATAAGAGTTTCATGGACTTTCCTGCCCAGGCTGGCTTTGAACCACGATCCTCAGATCTAAGCCTCCTGAATAGCTAGGATTACAGGCATGAGCCACTGGCACCCGGCTAAGATTCATAATTTTTAATCCTGTTAGTATCCTAAGGAAATAAACCACAATAGAGTATTTTAGATACAAAAAAAATTGGGGGATCAGTCATGGGGCTTGAACTCTGGGCCTGGCACTGTCCCTGAGCTCTTCAGCTCAAGGAAAGTGTTCTGTGGCTTAAGCCAGAGCACCACTTCCGGTTTTCTGGTGGTTAAATGGAGATAAGAGTCTCACAGACTTTCCTGCCTGGGCTGACTTTGAACCATGATCCTCAGATCTTGGCCTCCTGAGTAGCTAGGATTACAGGCATGAACCACCAGCACCCCTGAGCTTTTCAGCTCAAGGCAAGTGCTCTCTGGCTTAAGCCAGAGCACCACTTCCAGTTTTCTGGTGGTTAAATGGAGATAAGAGTCTCACAGACTTTCCTGCCTGGGCTGGCTTTGAACCACAATCCTCAGATCTTAGTCTCCTGAGTAGCTAGGATTACAGGCATGAGCCACCAGCACCTGGCTACAAACTATTTCATTCTAATATACTCTATAAAAGCTCAAAGTTGAAAGTCCAAGAAGAGAATAGTTAAATAAATTATGATCACAAAATACAATATTATTGTGACAATTATTGAAATTTACATTAATGAATTTTTTGGTAAGAAAAGTATACACTGAGCCAGCACTAGATTGCTAAGGCAAAAGGATTTCTAGGCAAGCCTGGACTACATACTGAGATCTTGGCTCAAAATAAAACAAAAAAGGCTGAGGGTGTGACTCAAATGGCAGAACACCTACCTAGCAAGTGCAAGGCCCTGAGTTCAAAAAGACAGGGTCATAATGGCTCACTTCTATAATTCTAACTTCTCAGAAGGCTGAGACCTAGACAATTGAGATTCCAATTAACCAGCAAAATGTCCAACTGAAGGCATGATTGAAGTAGTAAAGCCAAACCAAATGAAAAAAAAAAAAAGCAAAAGCTTGAGGCTCTTGAGTTTAAACCTTAGTATCAGACCAAAACAAAAGTGAAACTCTTAAGATCATAATGTCAAATAAAAAAGTAGGATATCAAATTATATGTACCTCAAAGATCTCAACTGTGAATTATGTTCAGCTTGTCGACAATGAACATGTATTGCTTTGAAAATCAGGAAAAGTGTATTGTAAAGTACAAGAAATTCAGAAAGATCTGGGTGGAAATGAACTTCTGGCTGTCACTGGATATTAGGACTTAATAGAAACATGGGACCATGTGTAAATTTTTAAATAATTTTTATTGAGATTAAGTGATTATATAAATTTCACAAATTTCACAGTATTGTGGGATAGTGATACTTAAAGTCACAAATACAGGCTGGGAAGGTGGCTCAGTGGTAGAATGCTTGCCTTGCATGCATGAGGCCCTGGATTCGATTCCTCAGCACCACATAAGCAGAAAAAGCCAGAAGTGGCACTGTGGCTCAAGTGATAGAGCACTAGCCTTGAGCTGAAGAGCTCAAGCACCCAGGCCTAGAGTTCAGGCCCTACAACTGACAAAAAAAAAATGCACAAATACTGTGTGTATATTTAATAGCCATTTAGTGACTACTTACTAGCTATTGTTGGGATGAGAGAAGAAATACAGTCCCCACATTAAATAGGTTATCCTTGAAGCAAGGCCACAGGGCAACAACTAACTGGAGTATTATGGTAGCTATTGTTGCAGAGATCTAAAAAATCTAGGGAAAGAAGGAGCAAAAAGCAAGTAGCTCATGATGAGTGATCTGGAAAAGTATATCAACTGGACTGCACATCCCAAGAATAATAATAGCTGTTATTTCTTCAGTTCTAATTTCTTCAATAACCCTATAAGGAAGAGATTTCCTTATCTAACTACCTCATATATCAGCAATGCTCACTTCTAGGCTCTGGAACATAGCAGTGATCAAAACAGACAAATTTTTCTGCCCTGGAACTCAACTACAAGAAGAAAATAGAAAGAAAAGGAAAATTGAGGCTAAAAGACATCTTATGCCTACTTGCACATAGAAACAGACTGAAATGAAGCTGGACTTAATACCCACAGCCTTTCATCAGATAGGAATGATGAAACAGAGGAAAAATATTGAATAGCCAGTAGAAACACAGAGGCAAGGAAGAACATAGTATGTCAGAGGATAGGGGAAAATGTGCTGGTCCAAAGCTTTAAGAGGCCTACCCACCAGGGACCTTGTGGGTCTTGAGTGCACAAGTTGACTTTGTTAAATAAAAGAATAGGTCATCGGTGTATGGGGATAATGCTGCCAACCCATAATGCCTACATCTGTTAGACAGCTAGTGCTGCTAGTCTGGACAACTTACATTTTCACAAGGGCAGCAGTGTGTTTAAAAGTGCTCTGGCCTGGAGCTGGGAATGTGGCTTAGTGGTAGAATGATTGCCTCTCATGCATGAAGCCCTGGGTTTGATTCCCCAGTACCACATAAACAGAAAAAGCCAGAAGTGGAACTGTGACTCAAGTGATAGAGTGCTAGAATTGAACAAAAGCAGTTCAGGGACAGTGCCCAGGCCCAGAGTTCAAGCCCCAGGACTGGCAAAAACAAAATTTTTTTTAAGTAATTTACTTAAAATTTAGGCCTAGGATATTTCCTAGTCACCTATCTTCAAAACTGTGGCAGGGGTTGGGAGGAGATTACTGGGGCTTGAACTCGGCCTAGAAGTCACTCTGTCACTTGAGCCATACCTCCAGCTATTTTTTACTCTTGATCTTTTTGCCTGGGGCCAGCCCACCCCAGGATCCTTCTGCCTACAGCCTTTCACATAACTGGGATCAAGGACATGTGCCATCACACTTAGCTTGCTATTGTTTGACAAGGGGTTTCAAGAACTTTTTACCCAGGCTAACTTCAAACCAAAATCCTTCTAATCTCTACTTCCTGAATATCTGGCATTAGCCACAACTCCTAGCCCTTCAGTACAGCATCATCTGGAATCTGGGATTTGATTAAATGTTTTTCATGTTCACGATATGGGAAGTGGGTCTTAGAAAATGACCTTATTACTGTCTCTTTGCCTGTGCACCTCGGGATAGTTTACATTTTGACATTGTGAGATTTGAAAAACTATATGGTCTCAGATGCTACTATTAACTGATCTTGGGATTTGGGGAAATACTGTATGTGTGCTTATTAGTGAGCTAGAAGATAACCTACAAAAGTCCTTGCCTGTTCGTATGATAGACAAGTCTCTTTAGAAAGCCTTAAGACTTCCCAGTGCCTCTTTGGAGCCTCTCTGAGTTTTCTTCTCCAGTCTTGAGGGCACATCTAGTAGCTGGTGCTAGCAGGGATCATACAACTGTCCCAGGATGAACAGAAGCACCCAAGTGGATCAGCCAGTCTCTACACTCAGATTGAAGCAGAATCTAAACCTTGAACTCATCTCAGTCATTGCTTTTCCCACAATTTTCTTCTTGGTCACTGTTTTACAGTGTTTCCAGATCACTCATTGCTAGTGTCTAATCCATGCATACAGTACATTGCATTTTACTGCATGCACCTCTGTAATAGCCTCTGACAGCCATTCCATTCCAGTGCCTTCTATGCCTGTGCTTTCCAGACCATCATGGTTTATCCACATTGACGCAGGGTTGTCGTTTGGAAGACATGAAGGCATCAGGTCACGTAGCTTACCAGCCAGACACATGGGTTGGAGCTGGACCCTGAGTCCTCTACTTCTATCATAGTGTTTTGCTCACTGGATCTCATCACCTTTTAAGAATCCAGTTTCTGTTACAGTTTTATTTTGTTTAGTTCTTTGAAGTAAAATTTCATCTCATTATGAGATTTTTGCCATGTTAAATATTTTGCTTCTCCAAATCATTTCAGTATTTTGGTCTCTGGTTTTTGTTATGACCAGCTTACATCTGCTCTTTATCTAACCTTTTTAATTTTGTCCATGACCATCCTACATTGCAGGCTTCTCAACCAGATGAGTTGACCATTGAGGAACATGAGGTGTTAGAAGTGATTGAAGATGGAGATATGGAAGACTGGGTAAAGGTATATTCCTTTGCTCATATCGCCCCTTCTTGTGACATTTTTAGGAGTTTTGGTTCTTGTTATGTCCTGTCCAAATTGTGTATGCAGACCTGTTTGCCCTTGTGTTTTACCCAGGCTCGAAATAAAGTTGGCCAAGTGGGTTATGTGCCAGAAAAGTACCTCCAGTTTCCCACCTCGAACAGCCTACTGAGCATGCTGCAGTCGTTGGCTGCTCTGGATAGTCGGTCACACACGTCCAGCAATTCCACAGAAGCAGAGCTCGTTTCAGGCAGCCTCAACGGAGATGCCAGTGGTAAAGACTAAAACAAGGCATTCTTTATCTGGTCCCATTTAGACTAAATTGTATTGGCTGGGAGGTTAAAAGCATTTGATTCCCATCCTGTGATGTTTTCCTATATTCAGTCACATTTTGTCCTGTACAGAAGAACCACAAAGTTGATATTCAGTGGGCAGAAATCTTACTACTTTACATTACCCAGCCTGTGTGATGCTCTTTAGTTGTCATGGGAACACAGGAGAAGTTGCAGCACATTCCACTGTTAGTATTCTCACCAGATTTGTCTCTCTCTCCCTCCTCAGTCTGTTTTGTGAAAGCACTTTATGACTATGAGGGACAGACAGATGATGAGTTGTCTTTTCCTGAGGGAGCAATCATCCGTATCTTGAACAAAGAAAACCAAGATGATGATGGCTTCTGGGAAGGGGAGTTCAACGGGCGGATTGGAGTTTTCCCATCGGTGCTAGTAGAAGAACTTTCAGCCTCAGAGAATGGTGACACTCCATGGATGAAAGAAATTCAGGTACATGAGAGGAAAGATGAATTAGAAGATAAAAAAACTTATCCCAAGAGGTCTGTTGATCCAGACATAAATGGTCTATAGACTCTGCCTCGCCCTCCCACCTCATTCCATCCCTGATTGCCAGGGGTCTGCAAAACTGAATTTGGGAAACCAGAGACTTAGCTCAGAAAGTCAGGGACTTGTCTTGTTCTCCCATTTTCTGTTACCTGAATCCATGTACCAAAATGCTAAATTACATATAACACGTGAAATATTGTTTTGATGGAAAGGAAAAGAAGCAGGAAAGGGATATGTTGCCTCTGGTTGATTTATGTGGTACAGCCGTTAATTGGCTCCTCCTCTCCCTCACTATGAGAGCCTCTATCCCACACTCAGGTACACCCTAGGCTTTCTTCCTTGTAGGGACAAGTGCCTTTACAGGAAATTCCTCATTGGGTCCACTTCACTTATCCTTTTGGGGGCTCTGTCATAGCAGCTTGGCAAGTGGAGGAACAAAGAACATGTTTCTAAGTCTTGTTTGCATGGTAATTATGACTGCTTAGCCTTATGTGTAGAAAACCTAGGGAAGTCAATTATCTTATTTATTACCAATTTTATCTTTACATTCAAAAAGATACTTTTTTGCATTTTGCTCAATTTTCAGCTTACTGAATTGACTGGATTGTTTTTTTGGTTTTTTGGGTTTTTTGGGGGGGTCCGGTCGTGGGGCCTGAACTCTGGGCCTGGGCACTGTCCCTCAGCTCTTTCAGCTCAAGGCTAGCACTCTACCACTTGAGCCACAGTGCCACTTCCGGCTTTTTTTTTTTTGCTTATGTGGTGCTGAGGAATCGAACCCTGGCCTCATGCAAGGCAAACGCTCTACCACTGAGCCACCTTCCCAGCCCCATGGATTGTTACATTGACAAAAAATGCTAAAGAATGGTTTAACTTGGTAACTGTTTAAGATAAACTAAAATTAGCTAAAGGTGTAGTTAAAATAAAAAGACCCTTCCTAGCAGGTACAAGGAACTGAGTTCAAAAAGGATAAAAACGGGGGGG